GGTGGTTCGTATTCAAATGCTGAGATTGTGATCAAGAATATTAGTAGATTATGAGCCGCTAGCGAGAACTTGTGTTAGACAAGTGTGGAAGGCAGGGAGGGTTTGAAACTCACCAAGTTGATATTTTGTCGGTATTGTTGTCGGCAGATTCGTGTATTGAAGACATCTGTAGCCATTGTTGAATACAAGAATTAGACCTACTTAATATATCCCTGTATAATCTAAAAGTTTGAAAATCCGTGTCCAAAGTTGGTCAGACATCCCCACCCTCTTTCTAAAATATTCTTGCTATGCCCCTAGATCTACTGAGGAAGTGTCAGTACGTCAATACTGGAGCCGCGTTTTCTTGGCGTCAAGGGAAAACGTGAAGTTGTCCCGAAGCAGCATCTAAAGAAAGGATGCTTCCCATACAGCTACCTCCATAGGTCCCTATGGTGTTAAATATGATTAAAAAGATTGGAAAACTTGTTCATTGCGATCAGATGCCATCTGAAAGTACATATTATAATGGGAAAGGAAAGGGAATATTGTGTGCACTTGTTTTGGTCTCTTATTACACGGGTGTGATGGCGTCATGTTTAGTTGTGAGAAACGAACGGTGAGAAGAAACAACGATGAAGAGTATTTGTGATACGATGAACGGGAAATATATTAGTATGTGTATCAAACTGAAGAAAGAGAGAAGATAATTTGGATCATGCTATTGTAATAGTAGTAGCATAAACGAAAATAAAAACAATCTGCTATGATGATTTCATTACAATATTGGCCAAATCTGACGATTTCGCTCTAGTGTCATATGCCTTGTTCGTACGGTTATCTGTCTAAATAGATCTTCAAGAAGTTTCCGATCTGATCACTTGCTCAGAAAAGGTTTCATAGTATCCAATAAACTCACAATGTATAATTCTGTTGCATTAAAAACTCTCACCCATTATCCCCTTCTCCTTAGCCTTAGCAGACATATTATGCTTTCATTATTATGATCTGTTTTAGGAGGATGTTTGCCTGTTTGTTAGGTTGATCGATGCTTTATTGAAAGATTAATTGATGAATGTATTATAGGTCAGTTACATACTGGATTGGCCCGGTGTATTTCTTTTCTCATCAATCATTGTGACAATTTCGAAGGAGAATAATTGTTTGATCATGTCCCGTGCAGCTGATAAACCTACATTGCTGTCGTTATGTCTTCATTACTTTGTTAAATCGTTTGTTGCTCTCTTTTCCATCCTATATCGCCTTATCTGTTGGATTTCTTTGATCCCTTTGGGTCGCTATATTATATCTTAATGTATTTTAAAGTACTCCCTCCTCCAAGAGGAGAGATTTCAGCTGTCATTATCCATTTTGCGTATAAGATGAGAGCTGATTACGTTTGCAGCTGTTTCATATATCATTGATGTTCATTAAGGATTTTATTTTATTCGTAATGACTCAAAACAATTATTTGTTTCTGTTGATAAAAGTCTTATTTCTATGATAATTAGTTTTAAATGAAATTTGTCCACATTATATATTTCTTCTCCTCGTACTTCATCGTCAATAAGCCACATCTCATTAAATATTATTCATTGGTATCATGACGCCTACAACACGATATAACCTTGTAAGTTGAACCGAATAAGATCCGGCATTCTGAACATATTGTCTGACGAAAACTAAAAGCTAATTTTCCACTGCGAATAAGATCTCTGTTACAAACGTCTAGCGCTGAATTTGTCAAGTAATTGATAGTTGTCACGCTGCATTGTTTTACATCCGAGAATCCACCCAAATGTCACGTACAGGGAGACAATTTAGTGACTGCAACACGTAGCTGTATTACAGGGTCGTCTTTAGGTTACATGCCCACATACTATTCCTCGCGTAAGTGGATGAAATGAATTGTTCTATAATTATATTACACGCCATGTCGTTTCTCGTTTGAATTTTACGTAATTACAGATTATTTTTAATATGGCGTGAGTTATATCGTGACGTATGAAGGGACGCATAGGATGACGTATCCGTTTCAATTTCGGTGGCGGGGGGGGGGGGGGGGGGGGGGGGGGGGCTCTCTTTCACCCTTTTTGTGAAAGAAAAAAACCCATCATACTCCAATCTCACCCATTCCAGAGCTCCCTCCACCACGTCCCCTCACTACCAGCTGGGCGAGTTTGCGCGGCTTTTAAAACTAGAGAAATACGAAAATTATGTCCTGAAAAATCGGAGGGTCTTCTTCCTTTATGGCAATTCTATATAATCAGACTACAAATTCTCTCCTGTTTTCAATATCGTCCACATAATTTGAAACCGCAATCATGACAATAATTGAGATCACCTATTTTATTGAGTTTTCTTCTCTTTTTTTGTCTTTTGTCATCAGTAAGTCATCCGTAGAAGACATGTTATTAAGATGTATTTTCCCTTTGTTGATTTATTTGATCTCGATTTCTCGTTTATGATCAAGTCTCTATATACACAAATCTAGTTTTTCAGAAACAATACAGCATCAGTGTCGGACCATGTATACTTTTACAAGATACTCCGTGTAATGAATACTTAAACAAACACAATTATTAACATTGGGACAAATATTATTACAGCTATTATTTCGTTACATACCTGCACTTATGCACTTTGGTTTAATATGCATGGAGTTGAATACACATAATATTGCTATTACGAATAGTTGCAGATTCTCTCTTTTTATCGTTTGTCTGTTGTCTGTGTTTCAGTTTGCTTGACATCAATTATTCTTCAATGTGTCTTGCTAGAATCATTTACCTTTCTGGGCTTCCAATGTCCATCATGGAAAACAATAATAATGTAACGTCTGTATACTAAAGCCATTTAAATATTTTGTAGGTTTTTGTAAAACAATATATTGTTAGAATATAACAACCGTCTGTATATTCATTACACTACCTCCCCCCCCCCCCCCCCCCCTTCATTGCTATTACTGGGAAAAAGAAATGAACCTTTCTTTATATACTCTTCCTAATACTGAACCCACTCACGAACCAATGATGCTACCCCCCCCCTCTCTCTCTCTCTCTCTCTCTCTCTTTCTCTCTCTCTCTCTCTTTCTCTCTCTCTCTCTGATGCATTCTCAGTGATCCAAATGCCACAAATAGAGACCCAAATCCTTCATCCTAAGACGAAAAGAACAGCAAATCAATAAAGATATGAGCGTCATGCCAAAATAGATTTCACGGGTTCGCGCCTCCACAAGTCCAGATGGAGAGCGGTTAGCTAAATGCATTTAGTTATCTTTTATCGGTCTAGAAAACTCTTTCAAGATGATGAAGGTAGAGATGCATGGTGAAAGGGTGACCTGTCGATATTGAGATGGGTCCGTGGAGATTAAAGAGTAGCGTAATGTGATTTAGAACAAGTGCAATCGATTTGATTGGTAGAAAGATGAATTCACACCATCATGCGTTGGCTTTCTAGTTTAAAACGTAGCTTTCGTGGCTTTCATGGCTTTATCAGTGTAAAATGGCAACCAAACTTCACTTGCTGGGTTGTGTGTGCGGCTCACTGGTGATTGTGATATGGTAGTTTGGTTCATTAAGAGCTTCACGCCATGGTGATGTGAATACAGCGTGCTGGCAATTTGCATCCATTGTAGCAATTACATTAACGTACCTCTTCAATTTGTATCCACTGCCACTACCAGATTGTCTGGGTGGTTTTAGTACAATAGAGTCCAATTGATGTGTATTGAGAAGATGTCAGATCGTAGCTCCTCCCAAGCCCAAGGTTTCTCATGTATTTAGGATTGCTTTGATGAGACTTTCAAGCCTTTACTTCCTTTTCTTTCGATTTTTTAATGTTATCCTTAAATTCCCTTATTTGTTCATCCTTTATCTCTCTCTCTCTCTCTTCCTCCCTCTTTCCATCTCTACCTCTCTTCCTACATATAACGTTACAATGAACTCTTTTATTTAATCTCTCTTCAAATGTAAATGATTTGATACCGATCATAAAGCATTATTATGCTTGTATTTAGGCGTTTTCCTAAAAACCCTTCAGCCAGGAGCTGTTTCTCTTTCATCGTGGTATCTGGTAACTCCTCATCCACAATGAGCATTCTTCATCTTCATTTTTCTTCTCCCTATACTAGCATTTTGTCATCTTGTCATGTAGGCCCCCAGCCTGTATACCTGACAGTTCATGATTTATTACATGCGTCAATCAGAGTAATGCCAGCAGACATTGTAAATCATCATGAGCATAATGATCACGCTGCTTGTTTGATTAATTTCTCTTCATTTGTACAAACAATGTGTTATCATTGTTACCATTCCTCATCCAGATTGAGTATGATTGCAAACAAAATGTGACATGTTTCACATTTCACGAAATTTATGATAGAATTCGTTAAGGTTGATGATTATTTAGTGATTTTGCATTAATCTGGATACTAAAAAACATGACATTTTCTGTTCATTGTCAGACAGTTTAGAGGAATATTGATCTTTTATTTTATCGTTTAAAAGAGAAATAGAAAACGAGTGAAGAGAGACAAATAGCGAAGGGCGAAGTGAAAATAGAGGGCGGCAAGGACATGGAAAGGGAAGAGAAGGGAGAAAGTACACAGCGAGAGAGAGAGAGAGAGAGACAGACATAGAGAGGAAGAGAGACACAAAGAGACAGACAGACAGACATACAGACATAGAGAGGAAGAGAGAGAGAGAGAGAGAGATAAAAATAAGATAAACATTGTTGAAGAGACATTTCATTTCAGTTGTTACGCAAAGGCTCTACTTTTATAATCATTATTCTTTTTCCATGCAGAGTTTGTTTGAGAGACTACAATTTTCAGTTATAGTAGAATCAAATATCTGCATTGTTTTGTCGATAAGATTACATTGTACCTTGACTAAATTTCCTCGTAATTTGTCAGTGCATTGATGTGAAATATTATTAATTCAGTAATTCAACATGTTATTTAGTTGAGCTCGTAATATTCACACCAGTTCTTTTCCATTTTCATTCTAATTTACAGGAAAGCTGAACAAAAGATATGGGAGAAATTTCAACACAGCATAAACCGGTACGAGATGTATTCATATAACAACTCCAAGATAGATGACCTTCTACAGTATCTGCGTTCAGAACCCATGTATGAAGTTGGTAAGTTCGATTACCTCTTGACGAGATCGGTGCATTGCAATACGGCAGTTATAACAATTGGCTTTTTGTTTAAACATTTAAATGTGGTCGAGCACAATTGATGATCCCAAACAAATATTGATGTTTTCTACATAAATAGCGAGTGTTTACCTCTGTCAGTGGGTTTTCACAATTTTGTTTCTAAAACATTTTATCTGCTTGCCCATGCGCATTCATTAGCTATACAATAATATTTTTCGCTTTTTGGTCTTCAAACATGGCTGCTTGTAACCTTGTAAGTTCTATCACATTTGTCTTTTCTTTGGTTTTACCACTATCGAACTTTAGGAACGTCTGTCAACAAACTTTAAAGAGAAGGTTGAGTTCTGGGAAGATGTGAACAATAATGAGCATTATCATTGTTATTATGCAAGTTTGGAAGAACATCAGATAATTTTTCCCCCTGAAATGCATGGCTCTTCACATGCCTTCATATTCTAAATATGACATGTAAAAGCTTGAAAATGAGGCCCGATTTTTATGCCACATGTAATAGCGTAGTCCCATATACATCTTTCTGTGTACAGTGCTTGTTACCTTACCAACTAAAATTCTATTTCATTTTGAAGACCTGGCCCTTGTACGTGAGACGGCCAGCGCAGCTATCGGGCGATGGAAGAACTTAATTTAACTTAATTTAGGAAATTTGAATTAATCTTGATCTATATAAGGAGACACGAACGAACGAGCTCTACCAAGGCTGGGCCACATTTCGTATCATTTTGATGACTTCAGAACCTTGCAGTAACACACCAATACTTGTATGCTATAGTTTCACAACTAGTTTATTAGAAGTGCCAAAACAAAAATTGATTGAGGTTGAAGTGCCAACCTGTATGTTCGGTGACTGTGTTGCGATGGAGCGTAGCGACCGAGCCGATACCGGGACGGGTCCAGGGGGCGAAGCCCCGGAAGCTAGTGAATTTCAGTGTTTTTTTAAGGCCCAGATGTGGCATTTTTAACACCTTTTTGTTCCATAAAACATCAATCATAATTTCATATTGATGTGAAATAATTGGTATAATTCCTGGCTAAAATCTACACTGGAAGTTAATTTATATGTAGTTATTTTGGTGCAATAAACACGGAAAATGTCAAAATCAAATGAAAATAAAACATACAACATGGCTTGCTTACATTTTGGGCTCAACTTTTTGATTTTGCTGAGTTTTTAAATTTTAAAATATATTTTTTGAAATTTTTTCTTTAATTTTTAATTTTTATATACTTTTTATTAATTTTTGGGAACAGCCGTGCGCCACTCCGACTGACCGCAAGCGCCACAAGTGGCGCGCGCGCGCCGCCAGTTGAGAAGGCCTGCGAGTATAGATGGTCAATCTTTTCTGATCGATTCCACACCGTTTCGTTCACAATGCAACCACATGACCAGAACTCAACTTTCTCTTTAAATCAAGGGAAGCTTTTTGCGTGGTCGTTGCATTTTAGTTGGTATTTGTTGTCTGCGAATTAGGTACCACCCTACCTCCATTCCAAAGAAGCTACCAGTTTGTAGCAGTTTTAGCCTCTTACCAGTTTACCTGCAACCGTCAGATACTTGCATATAATAGCCTATACTCGCCTTCGTTCAGTCAATGAAGGTCGGTGATAGCTGATTCTTGAAGCCTGAATCTAATAATGCAATTGGTTAGTGTTAAATCGACCCTAATGATACATCGATGAGAGCTTATTAAGATGTAGTGCTGTGGGTGAGCGTGCGTGATCATAAACCTGCCCTGTATCTGCAGTAGATGCCCATATTATTAACATCGGATATCCAAGCTGAAGAATTAAATTAAATTGGATGTTTATGCTACGGTCACAAAGGTTCATACGAACGATAATTTCATACGAATCTCCCTGTTTTTCCATTGTCTGAAAATCGTTCGTAGGGCGTTCGTAGCAGTTCGTAATGGCATTTGTGACCTAGGCTTTTAGCTTTGTTGGTCTGACCTGATGAATAAGAACGCTACAGATGGATGAGGCGGGGGTTCATAATTGAAATAACGAGTGAATGAAAAGACGACTATCAGCTGAAAGAGAATGAAAAAAAAATGAGAGGATTCGTTTGAATATGAAGAATAACAAATATCGTGTGATGTTTCAGCTGTTCATTAACATAATGCCTGAGGTGTATTGTGTATAGATATAAAGACGTCTTTTTTATGATTTTTTTTTCGTAAAGAAAAAAGGAAAAAAAAGGAAAACAGATAGAGAGGGGGAGAAGCAAAGCAAGCTGCAGTTTTCTATTAGTGTTCCATAAAGTGGTTACCGCAGCTAAGAAAGCCAAGGGGTTCGTTTTGTGATGAAGACATGAGTTTGAGGTGAGGTGGACGAGGAATGGTATATGCATACATATTATTAGTGGAAGGGTTTGTCAGGCGACATTGAAAACTCAAGTAGGTATGGTAAAGATAGTCAAGCAGCACTGTCGAGTGATGTGTACCATTCCTGCGATGCCCGTGGCGTGGTCCACTTCCACATAGCAATTTCAGCGGTCATTTTCTTTGACATCCAAAAGAGGCATCAGAGTCAAGTGTTCTGCATCTTAAGCTGGACATACAAGAGGCGCTAAAGTCTTGATTTTCACGGTATATGATGGAGGTGTGGCGTATATACTTGTCAATCCTGATAACATGCTAGATGACTGTTTAACCAGACTTCTGGTTGTGATGGCAGTTCCTTAGATTTGCACTTCATTTATGTGCAGTATGTATATCTCGAATAATAAGAATAATGATGTGTTTGCACTAACACTCTCATGCCTGTGACGAGTTTTTGTTTCATAAACATCCTATATCTTCAAGCTATAGAACTGTCCTTATATCATTCTGTACTATATGAAAGGGGGGGGGGTGTTCCAAATGTTTCTGCTCCCAAACTTCATTACCATGCCTATATCTCTTTCTCGTCTGCCTCTGCACCCTCTCTCTCCATCTCTCTCTATCTCTCTGTCTATTCCATTCTCTGCCTGTCTCCGCCTGTCTCTCTCCCTCACCCCCTCTCTCTCTCTCCCTCTCTCACACTCACACTGATTCTCTGTCTTTCTACTCAGCAGTCCATGGAAGTCAGTTCTTTCTCCGGTATATTTGCGATGTCTTCTCAATCGATGATTAAGGGAATAATTAATAATTCGAGAACACATTAATAACCACCTCCCCTCTGTTCCGTACCATGAACACAAGAAACCAATCTGGTCCAATCTTGCTTGTTGTTAATAAGTACGATTTAAGATGTAGGCACTCCCATTTCCCCCAATCTATGTTAAAGACAATCCCATATAAATTGTATTTGTATTTATTAACAAACGTCATTCACATGATACATGAATATTATGTTTTACAAAATTGAGATAGTAAGGTCACTTATTTTCTAGGATACGTACTGTCGAATTCCACTATTCTTATCATGGGCATTCTAATATCCCGCCTATCCTCCCTTTGTATAGCTTTCCTCAGAATCATTGCTTCCCTTATTTCTTTCTTCACTCACTCTCTCTCTCTCTCTCTCTCTCTCTCCCTCTCACACACACACACACACACACACACATCAATTTATCTCTCTTTCTCTTCTTGTATTTCCTGAACACAGCAGTTCACACTTATTACTTATATCTAGATATATACTTTCTTTTCAAATTTTTCTCAGAACCACCCTCTAATCCCTTTTTCGCTCTCAATTTCCAAATCGTTCGCGTCTCTGTCTCCTTGCCTCCCTCTCTATTCACCAACAGCTATTGTGTCTATATCCCGCCCGTATGGTATGTTTATTTAAAGATCCATTTACTGCAATTCAAGAATTTGGCGCCTTTTATTAGCTTGTCTCCACTGTATCGCCTAACGTTTCAATAACAAGCGATGTCGCCTGGATGGAAGAATTACCGGTGCCCCATCTCCGTTGAACTCGTTATGAATGCCACCCCTACAACGGATATTATTTTACAATAGCCTGGATTAGAGGCCCGATGGAAGCTGACATGCCCTATCCATCAAAGTGAATCCATAATTATTAGTATCTGAATGCTTTCGTGCATTGGTATCAGTTAAATTATGGGACCCGACATTCTTTTTTTGATTGCCTAATTTTCATCTAACTCATCCCCATTCTCCGCTTCGAGTTCCGGTGGGAAGTTTAAATCTTTTCACATCTTCTCTCGTTTTTGGTATGCAAAAATAGAATGTTTGTTACATTAGAATCTGTATTTTGTTATTCGTAGATTTTTGTTATATATTCAAAATGAAGTACATACTTTCTCTTTCATGTTTATAAACATACCACGCAGACTGTCTTAGAATATAGAGAGCGACTGGATTGGCGAATTCAATGATATAATTGTAACTAAACATTTAGATTCAGTTTAATTTACGTAAGATATAAATTGTATTTGAAATCAACACATGGGACTTACCTCTCCCTCTCCTTCACATAATCTCTCTATGTCTCTCTTATTCCCTCGGCACTCTCTTTTCCCCATCTATCCTTACTGCGTCACCCCCTTGCGATGATGAATTATTGTGTTTAATCTATATCTATTATTCCCAATGTTTCCTTGATATTCATATGGGAACGCATAATGTTTGTAAGATTATTATGCTAGGCACCGTCTTGACTCACAATCTCCATCTCATATCAGCTGCAGATATCAAATTATTCAATCTCAAACCAAGGTCAAGGATTCATAAGTCATGTTCACATTCTGATTTAAGCTACATGAACCTGAACCAGTTCTCTTCTTGAGTGTGAAGAGGGTTCGCATTGAAAGAGAAAATAATCTTGACCATCACTAAAGGTGGACACTGTTGGTCATTACTATAGTGTTTATAGAAAACTACCTCAGTTTGTAACTAAGGACTATGTTGTGGATGCGTCGTGTAACATTGGAGAGACAAATGCTTGCTCAACTCACATATCCCTGCTCAAACTGAAAATAAGAACCCGTCGTGAATTAGGATTGTAAGTGAATTACACATGCATTTCTAACAGCCTAATAGGATCATTTGGGTCTGTCTTCCATGCGATGCATTCATGAGGAACAGTTATTGGCCCTCTGCATCATTTCAAAGAAAACACACCTATGGTCTTTTATCTCGTGTGCTGTGATTGGTTATATAGACCCTCTGCATCGTTTCAAAGAAAACACACCAATGGTCTTATATCTCGTGTGCTGTGATTGGTTATATAGACCCTCTGCATCATTTCAAAGAAAACACACCAATGGTCTTATATCTCGTGTGCTGTGATTGGTTACCCATAGAACAGTTTATTCTCCAGAAGTACAAGAATACCTAAAACACAATATTTTTTAGCTCCCTTCTTTCCCTGTGCTCCTTACTATAATAGTCTCACGTTTAAATATTCTCACTCTTTTTATCTCACATTATTTCTCTATTCCAGTCGTCTATAAATTATAGTGGAATTTCCTGTCTCTCATTACTCCTCATTGCTCTTTTTTATCTCTCTTTTCTCTCTTTTTCTTATTTCACTTTTCTAACTAATTTGCAATTATATTTCCTTGTCTATTTTATTTCAATCTCTCGCATTCACTCTTTCTCTCATTTGTGATATTTCATCATAATCTTTCATTGATGAAGTATGGGGTCGCAACCTGTCATTAACATCCTATCCTATACGATTTGATTTGATGCTAATTATAGAATCAACTTTTAAACTTCTGGCAAGAAATTTATTTCTCATGTTAATTTTAATTTATTTTGTTCTTTTATTTTTTTAATTTCAGATGAGAAGTCAGGAGGTACACAAGTGAAGATGGTCCTTACATTTCGAGATGGTGGTCAGAGTCTGATGAAACCATGGAGGTGAGTAATAAGAGTTGAGAACGTAACGGATACCAAGAACCAAAACACTATTGCTTGTATGGTTTTAGAGAATATTTGTATCCATACAATTATATCTATGTTGTGTTAAACGTGTAGCATGCAACCTCCGGTACAGAAAAGGGTTTTGATTTATTAAGTTACAATGCAAAATTAAAGCTATTCTTCTTTAAAAAAATGAATTGGATATATTATATTTATAATATTAATTTAGTTCAAGTTCAATTTCTGATCAGCCTCAATTATTCACTGTTACGTAGAAGTTACTATCATAATATATCCAAAAGGTTATATTTCCTTTAAGTAATGTCGACCACGCAATCAAACCAACAGTCGTTTCGTAAAGGTTATTAAAACAGCGCCTAAATATGAAATCGATGTTGAAACCCTGTACGATTAGCCACGTTGCATCATTGATAGATATACGTGTTTCATAAGATGTTCTCATGTGGCTCAGGCAATGTCAATATGAGAAATTCTTTTTGTTCATTATTAATACTTTATGATAATGCAATTCCGTTTCACGATGTAGACAGATACTCGGTTGATGTTCAGGTTTTCAGGAGAAGAGCCTAATATAGTGCTTTAAAAGAAAGTTGAAACTTCTTTAAGTGGAATATGGTGTCTGTATGTGAGAGACATTCCTGATTCTGTGTACGCCGTATATTAGACCGAAAACTTCAGTCTCTCTAATCGTCGGTTGTTCCACTGAGACTACGTCTGGCTCCACTAGACCTCCGATTATAGAGACTGAAGTCTGGGGACCTCTTTCTGTGAGGCACTGTACGGAACAAATGGTTCGGTTCGACCGGACCGCGATGAATGAGATATGCAACGAGATTTTCACTCTTTACATCCTCATAACTGCTGCAATTACAACACAAATTAAAAATAACATATATATAGCTTATTTGACTTACGATAGCTTGCTCATTTAGATCCTAAATTAATGATTAATCCGAGAAAGTCTCGTCGTCAACATTATTCGTCTTGGTTTTAGTTGATGAATATTCATTTTTTCTTTTCGAACGTCCAATAGCTACCGTAGCTTTGTACGAGTCGGCCCAGCTTGACCAACGAACTCCCACGAAACGAGTGCTCTGATTGGCCATTTGGCTATGTTTTGGTAGGTGGACCCGGAAATATATCGGCCGCCGGGTAATATTTCGAATGCATGAACGTACCGTTTCACAGTTCGGAAATACAAATTGGATAATTCATATAAGTAAGTCCGTAAATTATACATTTAATATTAAGTTATCAAATTTTGATAACTGTAATTAGGACAAATGACATACCGACCTAATTTACATCTGATTTAGAAATCAGAAAATTAGATCTAAATAAAGAAAATCGGGGAGAAAATGTTTTGACATAAAAAGCTGCCATTGTTGGCTATAGCTACCCCCACGGTACGAGATCTCTGGGTTGCCATCTGTATTGGGGAATGACAACAAATGTCAGTTTTATTAAAGAAATGACCCAAATCAGATGGTTATTGCTGTCTAGCCGTATATATGCTGTATTCGTGCGTGTGTGGTTTCTGATCTTATTCTGATGTGAAGCTACGAGCAATGCAAGGCGCCACGAGGATTAACCAAAACAAAAATAGGTATCCATCCAACGGTATATACAGTCCAGATAGGGTGAACGAATATGCAAACTTACTGATAATTGGCTTCCCTTCACCTCCTTCAACTTCTTTCTTTTCGTCTCTCTACTACTCTTTGTATGTCTATCTGTCTGTCTCTCTCTCTCTGTCTCTCTGTCTGTCTCTCTCTCTCTTTCTCTCTGTGTGTGTCTCTGTGTATTCTCTCACTCTCTCTCTCTCTCTCTCTCTCTTTGTTGCCCCTCTTTTCCCTCTATTCTCCCTCTTTGTGTCCCCTCGTCCTACTTACTACCCTTCTTTTCCCCTCTATTACTTTTCCTTTACCCCCCTCTTTCTTTCTTTCTTTTTTTCTGTCGCTCTCTCTCTCTCTCTCTCTCTTCTCTAGCCCAGTCACGTGCTATCGTGATGTTTTTATATAATTGAATTGAATTGAATTGAACTGGGTTATTGATTAAAACCATTCAAAATACGATCAAAATAGCAACCAAAGCCTGAATTTACAAACAATCTAAAATTATCCTAGTTACACCAACGTGATCGACACTAGACCGAACACATAGTTACATTATTATCCGAAAATGGCCCAGTTCCGAAGCCATTTGGCGTATTGATTCGGGAAAATTTCGGGTATAGTACAGGAATATATCGCTTCGGGTCTGAATCGGCTTGACAACCATAATATATGGGACAATGAATTGAACACAATCCCGTTTCTAATTTTACTTCATCTGCCTTTTAGATGCGACTTGTAGCCACCTCTCCCTCGGCTCACAAATCATATAAGACGATTGATATGAGTATCAGGGTATTATCAGATGGAGACGTACTTGAGTTGAAGAAGAATCTATTTATTAAACGTTTGTTCTATCAAGATGGCTATTTGTCTTAGGGTCTCGCTAGGGGATTATCCTAGAGAGAGATTAGGTAAAGCTTAAGCCATGTCTGCAACCATCGTGTCTCATCGTGATTCTCGTCATCCTACAACCTTCCACTTTATCTCTATTCTTATCAAGAATTCCTCTCAATTATACCTCAGTCTCTTTTTGTTTAATCAAGTATTTTACTTTCTTCACGATACAAGAGCCAAAGCGTAGATCGTTCCCTTAATTTAGACCTTTTTCACCTAACGTGTCGAAGATAAGTTATGATACGCTTATCAATAAAGAACAATGGTCAGGATGGTAGCATCTGGAGAATATAGTTCACAGACAATACAACTGTATTGGAAGGATCCATGGTATGCGTGATTGGAGCAGTCAGCTGGTATGCCTAGGATGACGTGGGAAAAATTAGAAAAGTGGTATCAAAAGTTGTGATAGGCCTATTCCACAAACGATATCTGATAAGTAGTAGCGGAACCAGGATTTAATAATGAATAGTTGCGAGCTTTATTTGCTTGCACTGTCAGGAGGTGACTTAAAATGGCGACGTGAGGCGCAGGGGCTTTGAATGGGTGGGCGACACATGCCCCTCAGTCTCCCCTTCACCTATTGCAATTAACAAATATTTCTGTGAAAATTGTAATATACCTAATCTTAAGTCATCTTGGTTGGAGAAATCTACTAGCTAAATTATTGCACCGGAGGCGCGATGGCTTAGTGGTAGAGCAGTAATTGTCTCCTAACCGAGAGGTCTCGGGTCCGAAACCAAGTTGATGCGTATTGCATTGAGGAGACGCAATAGTTCAGTCGGTAGAGCAGTGGTCTCGTAATCTAGTAAACTGGGTTCGAAACCAAGGCGATGCGCTAGTGCCCTTTGGTAAGGCATTAATCCTCATCATCAGGTCCCTCGGAGAGGACCTAAAGCCGTCGGCCGTCTGGTTGCTTACTTACAAGCATTTATGCTTTCTTAGCAGTCAGGTAAAACAAACACACCATTATAATTTCACTGCAAGTATTAGCTATAACCATTACCTAGCTAGTCCACTCCCTGAAATAGGGACTTTTAGATTTGCGCGGACTGATACGTGTGACGTCCATTCAAGGCAGTGCATTAAAAGGACGTCGATCGTAGCAATCCCCATTGTCTTCGTGCGAATCTAAAAGTCCCTATTGTTTCCGTGTCACGCGCCCAATCAACTGAGAAAAATACGCACTCCCAACGCTAAACCAGGGACAGTTGCCTGGTATTCTCACCCTCGGTGTGGGGTGCGTGTAAGGGAGGAGAACATAGATGATTGAAAAATATAAATATATTGAAATGGATAGAATCTGGACTATTAAACTAACACCATGCAAAACACATTGGCCTTTTTTGATCGTTATGAAGGACAAGGTTTGGTGGAGTTTAGAGGAAGTTTTAGAGATGTTTTAGCTAGAGGTATGAACTTATAGTGTTTTTCTTATTTACGAAAGGGCTCTGTTGCATATGGTGCAGATGCACCCAACTGAAAATCAAACAGCTGTCTTTTCTGCAAGCTGTTGCAATTTTGCATGCAGTTAATTTAAGTAGACCGAGTCCCACGCAAAGGTAATACGGGAGAGAGAGAGAGAGAGAGAGAGAGAGAAAGAGAGAGCAAGAAATCTGAACCATCTGAAAGTGTTCCATAATTGCCACAGCAACAGACCTAACCCGATTAATTTCATATAGCTACAATTATTATCCTGTAAACATGCTGCATGTGTAAATATATCCAGACTTTGCCCGTCAGCGCGCGTGATGTACCAATGTCTAGCTCTTGTTGAGCGACGCTACATGGGACGCTATCCTGCAGTTAGTCGGGATAGTATTTCCTTGCATCATTAGCATCTCAAGCAGAATAAAACTTGACGTCAGTCAAAATATAGCATGACGATTCTTGTTGTACATGTCAGTAAATGATATATTTTCACCAGTGTTTTTTTCAATTTTAATCCTACAAAACTGTAAACACTTTTTGTTTGTAATGTCGCAACTATTTTCTCTCATCTGTGTTTAATTACAATTATTGTAAACATCTTTCTGGTATTTAAATAAGAATCTATCAACACAGATATTCTTATCATGGCTGTACAGAATTATACGGCTATGTTTTCAAATGATAAGTAAACCTAGTTTTCTTCAACCCGTGAATCTGGTGAAGTTCAATCAGTCGCAGTATCGTTGAGTCCTTTTACCAAATTTAAGCCGTGTCAAACTATTGCCGACAGATGGCGCAATGTGGAATTTAGAGTTCATGAACATTGAATACGGGGCTTGCTTGGTTGAAAGAGAGACACCACACGAACAATTTTAGACTCGTGAATATAAGCGGGTCCATTTGGGGCATGGGGCAAAAGCGAGGTAAAGTTTGTGTACATTATTTTCCTGTCTTTACTTACCCCTCTCCCCCATTTTTGTCAAGAGAATCCTTGATCCAACATTATACTGTCATGAAGTCTCAACATTCACAGATGCATTGAATTGATTGGACCAACAGGAAGTCATATGATATGTTATTTAATTTCTCTTCCAAATATTATTGATTTCTTTCTTTTCTTTTTCAGAGTTCAACGTGAATACGAGACATTACCCGACCATTTTTATTTCTCTGATATAGAGCGTCACAATGCCGAGATCTCGGCCTTTCACCTTGATAGGTACGTATAAATAATAATTCAGATAAAACACAATGTCATAGCACATCGCCTAAAATCGACTTTGATCTTCAGTTCAGTTAGTTTCTTTTATTCCCTTAAAAAACAATACATTAACAAAACATAGCATATTTACAAAATTGGTATTCGTGAACAATAAAGACATCTACAAAGCATGAGTTTGTATGGCATTTACACTAAATAATTTTGAAATTACATGTGAAAATTGATTGTAAGATCTAGATCTATTTTAGGCCTTCAAAATCAATCGGATTGACTTAAACATAAGTTTTAAAGCTTGATGAAAACTATGTACCGGTAACTAAAATGATAGATTTTGTAGGAATATGCCAAAATGGTAATAATATTATACCTATCAAAAAGTATACATCATTTTTCCCTTACTCTCTCTTACAGAATTTTAGATTTTAGACGAGCGCCCCCTGTCGCCGGTAGATGGTTCAACATCACCAAGGATCTATTCGAGTTAGCAGATCCAGCATTTAGAAAAACATTTTTTAGATCACCAGGTAATTATTTACTGGAATACTTATTAGAATAAACATCTTGTCTTTCCATGCTATCTCGTTTCTTCTTCTTTCTACTCGTTTTGCTGTGACATTGACTAAGCAATTTGAATATTCATTGAAAGAATCCATACAATACAATGATTCTTGCCCATTATTGTTATAGTTTTCTCTCCCTGTTGTAGAATTAAATAGTAATCTATAAGACATTCTTATCATTCTATAATGGTATGTAGATGGTTCTACTTTCCTTTACAATTGTCTCTCTCTTCTTATATCTCACTCTCTTCATTTATCCTACATCTCCCGATCTATACACTGTATATTCACTCTCTCTCTCTCTCTCTTCCCCTCTCTCTCTATTTGTGTTTACATATTTTTATTCTATTATACACCATTTCTATCCTCTTTTGAGAGTCCAACATTCTCTATGCTTATCATCTCATTCCTTACCTCCTCATTGTATTTATTTTTTACTGAAAGTCTCTGTTTGTTTTTTTCTTCTGGATTTATCTTCTCCTCTGTACAGCAAACAACGTGTGTTTTGTAGGTCACTGTTCTTATTACTGCGAGACTGAGACAGCAGTATGTGGTAAACCTGATATGATCGAGGGTTCTGTAGCTGCCTTCCTGCCTTCTTTCAAATCAGCTCCTAGAAAAACATGGCGGCACCCATGGAGACGATCTTACAGTAAACATAGAACAGCAGTGTAAGTTCAGACAAAGTCTCTCTTTTCAATTTTAAAACAAGGTACTAATATTTCCAATCTCTGATCTGTTTTATATATCCCTTCTATAATTCGTTTGGCCACAAGAGATCTTTAGATATCCAATTTAGTTGATTTGATTTGAAATGATTAATTATATGAATAAATTCAGCAAAGGAACATCTTTAGCAGTTGAAATGCGTGATGAAGACATTATTATTATGACATTGCTTAGTACCGGGGCGTTCCACCTTCTCCGTTTCCTTTCTCAATGTCTATTACACTTATAACAATTTCGTATCATATTCCAAGAACGATATCAAACGTTTAGGGATGTATTGTCCAGAGCTGATTGACATGAACCCCCTGTCCACACATAACATTTTCCGTGATTAGGCGTGATTAGGCGTGATTAGCTATACCATTTCGCGATAGTTTTACGATGAAATTGTGTGTGTGAACGCTCACTAACGATACGTCGTATAACGAAACTAGTCTAACGAAACGCAGGTTTGGGCATCGTTTCGAACTAGAACTCAATAAAGAATCACGCCTAATCACGCCTAATCACGGAAAATGTTGTGTGTGGACAGGGGGAGTGTAACTAGTGTAACTAACTGGGCGGGGCTTAACGTGACCTCGAGCGAAAGGAGACCAGACCTCTCATTTCCGCTTCCATTTCATGACCGCAGTAGCAAACTGCGCACCTTTACGACATTTCGCTGTAGAGTTTCAGGATTACTTTCTTCTGTGTGTGGACATCCTGGAATTTATACGATGATTATTTATACGAAGTTTCTTGTGTGTGGACACTCTGAAATTTATACGATGATTCTTTATACGACGTTTCGTTATAGAGTTTCGGGATAAATTGTTTTGTGTGTGGACACGCTGGAAATGATTATATTGGTTTGTTCTAATATAGCGCTTCAAAGAATGAAAACTATTTGTATTTCAGGCTAAGCATACTGGGAGGTGCCTGTGCGATGGCAATCACTGAAAGCTGTAATAACAACTTCTAAATTAGCGCCCTCTTTTGAAAGAAAATGTACAGTGTTACTTGATTCATTGTCACTTGGCTCCCGGATCAAGGCGCATGCCGATGAATATTGTTTTGATCCTAAAGTATGAATGCCTCATTAGTTTGAATGAAATCGTCAATAAACATGATCTAATAAGAAATGTTACTGTCAATTACCTATGTCTCGTGAGATATCTTATTCATCTAAAATGCAATTATTTATCTCGTTTTTGTTGTGAGGTGGCAGAATTTCATGGTTGAATTGTTACATTCACAGACCAATAGTCCATCTTCATGTTTAAAAGCAAAATTAAAGTTTAGGCACGTTTTTCAGATTTATTGGGAATCTGGGAAATGATATCCGGAGATTATAGCGACGGAATACCAAAAGGGAATTTCCCAAACAGTAAATTACAGACATGCGACCATAACAAGGTTGCCTGCTTTATGCTTTACATATCCTCTCTCTCTCTCTCTCCCCTCGCATTCTCTTTCTATTTCACTTTCCCTCTCTCTCTTCACTCCTTCTTTCTATATCTTTGACTTTCTTTATCTATTCACTTTTTTAGCTTTATTTTTTTTCTTATTCTCTTCTTAAATGTTTGGTTTTTCGCCCCTTTTCTCTCTCTTTTCCTTCTCTCTTCGACTTCATCATGATTTCCTATGCTATTTCACAACCCTTTCAATCTTTCTAACTCTCTCGCTCTATCTATATAACTTATATTGTATCTCTCATATTATTTTGTTTAGATCATCTCTCCTTTAAAAGCATGTCTATACCTTATGCTTGTTAATGAGCTAGTAAAAGTTATTCCTGTAGTACTCAATGGTATTATTATCATTTTCAAATCTTTGTCACTCTTAATTAATAATTTCATGATCATTGTTTCAAACATTGTATCTCATTCGTGATTGAAATAGCGGTCCAGTCTATAACATGAACTTTTCACAAAGGTATGTTTTGATGATGTTGTTTTTTCTTCTTTCTTTTTGATGCTTTATTTCAGTTGGGAGCAGGACCCTACATATTGCCATCGTATTGTTATGAACAAACATCCCTATAACAGCGGGAGGAGACTGCTTGATGTAATGGATATGTCCATCTTCGATTTCCTAATGGGTAAGCTAGTGAAAATAAATCACTTTCTTACAATCATACTTCCCATGGTTTTCCTATTGGTAATGGTAGTGGCACTTCTTTGACAATCTACACACGTTTCTTGTTCATGGGTTTTCTAGAAATGTTCATGTAAACTACTGGCAATAAAAAACGTGCAGGTGCATTTGGTAAGTTTCATTGTTTTGACAAACTATCAAGATGTGCAAACAACTTTAGATTAAGTAATAGTACCATTATCGCTTTTATGCTGAAAAATGACTGAATGTACCGCTAAACTCTACATTGTATACTAACCAATTGAAGCTGAAGTCCAGCCTGATATTAAGTTGGTTTTAATAGAAGCAGCGAATGAGAGGAAGAGGTCAGTGAAAGTTTCATCCGATTAAAGATAAGAAGGTTATGTGTTTGATTGATGCAACTTCAAAACTTCATAACTTTCTTATCTTGTATCAGATTTTGCTCAAACTTTCACCGACCTCATTTTTCTGCTTCTATTACGAGTTAAAACCAACTCAATATCGAGATGGACTTCATTTTGAAGTTCCGTACCATAACCCAAATAAATGTTCATAAATAATGTTGTTTATAATCCCTCCCCTGTATATATGCCCATGTACGCGGACAGCTCTTTGCTTTGAGAATGAACGTGATGAATGGAGCATTTCAGGCGTATTCCCTAGTTGTTTGTTTATATACATAACATGTAGGTTGCATTCGTCTGGAAAACTAAGTGATTAGACATATAAATTTAGTTTATGAAGTATTTCTATAAAGAGAGATGTAAACATTTGATAATATACAAATACATCATCTTACTTCACAACCATACATGACAGATATAGGCAAACATGACAAGGGCACAACATTGTTTCATGACCCACGGATAAGATGGATCAAACGTGAGAAAGGAGATGAACTCTTCTATCCTTCTGGGTCATCATGTAAAGGTCAAAGGTCATACGATGCTGGGTGTAGATCCCACGACAATCCGACATGTCTGTCTGTGTTTTGGTTGTAGCTCATAATGTTTGTATTCATAATGTACTCCAATTCCTCTTGTCAGTAAGCTTCCCATTTTTATTTAAACTACTTTTTTTTTTCTAGAATGATGGAGAGATGAAATCTTCTACTCGAGTTTGTGTTTCCATTATACCCGGCTCCAAATCTTTGTTTTCATACTCTGAGTTATATTGACATGGCCTAGCATGGAAAATAAAAGTATTATACAAAGACAAAAATCATTGTAATGTTATGGACTGGAGCTTTTTCTAGCTTTCTCTTTGAAACTTTGAGGAAGTACTTACCCGTCTTTATGCTTTATTTTACAATCATTTTCACTTAATTCATTTATTAAACTCACTTCAGCTCAACGCCTGTCCTGTAATTCCGTGAGACATTTTGTCTTGGCTCTATGTAAATACGGTCGGTACATGAACTTTTCAGATAGATTACGAAACTTTGAGAAATTCCCCAACAAATTGACCAAATCGACCCCCGCGAAGTGTGTTTCCTGTATAAAACGAAAGAGCAGCATTACATTGACATACCATAGAATGTTGAAATTGTTTCTTGGAGAAAGAGCATCTGTCACTGGAAATTGAATAGAATCCGTGTGAATGCAATACGTGCCAAGGTTTTTATTTTATTATTATGGAATGTATGAAAGGAAAGCCTATAACCCCCCCCCCCCCCAAGTACTCTCAAGTGTATTGATTTCATTCGGCCTAATCAAAGTCAAACAAAATCATTAAGAAATGGATTCTTTGTAAAGAATTACATCTATGAAAGCCACCTTAATGAGTTCATCAAGATCAAACTTCCATCGTTATCACTCACATGGCGTAGTTTGAACTCGAGCGAGTAGATGATGTTAGGCCATTAAAAAAAAATGCCGGCGGCCATCTTGGAAAAAAGCCCGATTGTCGGGGGAAATGTACCGAGCAGCCATTTTGAGCGGCCAATTTGAAGAGAAAAAAAAGGGGGAAGGGCCTCCTCCTTCCTATTTTTCAAAAAGGCAAGACGCTAAACATGTTTTTATGTTTGCCTCATGATAACTATTTCATACAAACTTTAACTGTGTGAAAGTTCCATTAGTGTTAAACAGCGTGCCTCTAATCGTGTACAGTGTGGGTAGGACGTAGAATACCCGTGTATCTGGAGGGCAAATTTAGTGATATCATATAGAGGTTAAGATGCTCCTACATCATATAATTCGATTCCAAGTTGTTTTGGAATTGAATCGTTCTTCTGTATTGATATTGAGTAGGAGACGATGAGAGGGTGAGAGTGGTATGATATCCAATATACATCGTGTGAGTTCATGTCCGGTTTACACAAACATAGTCAGGTACGCTACATGTCACATTCATGTCATTGCCAGACATAGAGTATCAGAATGAAATACGAGGAATTTCTCTTCGATGAAACCCATGCTTTAGGTAGAAATTTAGTAGAGAGAGAGAGGGGAGAAAATGTGGCAGTATGAAATGATAACAAGTAGTAGATGTATATACCAAGGCTCAACGATTTCCCTTTGAAACTGATTGTAATTGAGATGATGAAGATCAGAACGTGTAGGGAATGTGTGTCAGTGAAATAATTACCTTTTTTATAACAATAACAATCACAACAACAGCAACAACAGCCAAAAAAAAAAAAAACTTTGGCTTGCTTCTTAGAAAATGAAAGCCCCTTGTGAGATATTGTCCTTGCCTCTCGTGCTTTGGGACATGGATCTACTATCAAGTGTACTATCAAAAGAATACTGGTTACGAGTTGTTTTGGCAATGCTTCAAAAAAAATTACGATGATCACCTTTGATTCGGAAACACTCTTCACTTGGTATTAATCCAACAAAATATCACCACCACCCTCTCCACCTATCAGAGAAAAGAGGACTCGAGGGAAATTATAATAAAATCTTTAAATTTGTGCACAATCAATCAATCGATAGTATTGGTAAAGTTTTATTCTTCTGTACATCATTTTGTGTCATTTGGTAGTTGCCAGTGAAGATGATATTCATGCCTGTTGATTAAAACCATTGCTACAGTATACACTCCTTTAACTTCCAAACGTGTAAACAAGTGGAAATGTTTTCATAATTGGCAGGGTTGCATTCTTATTTTACTAAGGTGTGATCGCGAAAATTGTTGACCCGATCTGATTATTGGAAACTGCAAGACAAAACAATTGCGTTATAATGGCTGATGTATCCATCAGAATCACCGACCTGGCCTAGTTATCACGGTCACATAACAGTACGTGTATGTGTATACACTATTGAAGAGGTTTGAATCAAGGGTAAAGCAACAAATAATTTTACCATGTTTGTAGCAAATCTTATTCTACATCTGCAGAACCCCGTCACTTAATAAACGAAACATAATCTTGACATCAAGATCATGACTCAGTAGTAAATTATACTCAAAGCAGCCAACTCAATGGTTTGTTTTTACAATGAAAACGTGGGAATAGCTGAGCGAATAAGAATGTGTTATGGTTGTAATTGGTGTGTGGTATGGAGTATGATGGGGGTGTAATAGAGATGTAATTGGTTATCATCCATTTTTTCCATTTTCTAAGGTACGTTCTATTTAATTGAAAATTCCATTCACATATTTCTTGTAAATGATCAATTATAATTCTTGAATGATCAGTTATTTCATGAGGATACCAATATATGTATTTTACTTGTTTATATGCTTGTGTATTTATCTATTTTTGCTTTTGCTGCTGTTATTTGTTATATTCTGACCAAACAGGGCCTCATGAAAGACCACCAAATTGATGATATGTCAATGTGCCACCCTGTATAAATATCAGAAATAAATGAATGACTAGGGGTGTAATATTGGTGTGTTATAGGGGCACAATGGGGTGTAATAGGGGTGTGGCAGGGTTATGGCAGATGTACCAAGGAGGTTGGGCAGAGATTAGAATCGGACTAGAGGAACGGAGTTAGGCGGGATTGAGATGTTGTGTTTGTTACTTTACTGAATGATTTTGGATCCTCATGTTTACAAGGTTTCGTTCAAACACAACATTCTATGTCCTTAATTCTCTGCCATCAAGCCTTTGAACTAGAAGTATACCCGATCCGGATTCGTCGAAAATAAAGTTGTATTTATTATTAAATTTTCAGTTGCATCTTAGTACGCAACTCTTAATGAAAGAAGCCGGTAATGGCGTAGTACCTCGTTGTATATTTGGCATAATGATATAAAGAGTTTAAAGACGATTTTTAATCGTTTGTAGAGATGACCCCTGTGAATCATTACACCTGGGACTATTAGAGTACGTGATACCTCGTCAATGACCGAGAAATAGGAAAGGAAAACTTGGAACCCTGGCAACGTTCCAAACTGTCTTGCTAAAGTTCCGAAACAAATCATCAGAAATGAGTTGTATTTTTCCACTCGATCCCATCAGAGATTTGATACTAGTGCGGTTTGCCTTCTCTTATTCTTAACCAATAAACCAGTGCGGTTTGGCTACTCTTAACTTCTTGTAAAGATCTGTCAAAGCTGATTTGGTGCATAATCCTGGTCTACTTCCGAAATGTCTCTTGAACAATTTAATTTGTGTAAGGATTCTGAAAGATAAAAATATGACATAAAGTTACTGATTGGCTTTAGTCCTTGTGGATGAATACAATTCCGACTGTATAACCTTCTCTGTCGTAGGTAATTTAAGGGCTATAGCGGTTTATTCCTTGACCTTCTGTTTGAATGCTCTGATTTCGTCGGCCGGGAGGCGTTTTTTTTTCTGCGGCACAGATTGGGGTTAGGTGCGTGTTGAGCCTATGGGAATGTTTAGGGTTAGGGTTAGGGTTAAATCAAGACCTCTTTTTAAAAAAAAAACAATCTGTGCCTCAGAAGAAAATAACGCGGCCGGGAGGCAGAAGGGCGTTAGCGCGCGAGCGACGCGAAAACTACTTTTCGAATTATTCGCAGTTAAAGATTTGTTTTATATTTAAACTGCTTTCCGTCCCGAAAATT